CAATTGCATAAGTATAAAACTTATTTGCGCTATCAGTGTAGCTAAACCTATTATAGTAGATTGGTTATCATTAATTTTAAATTAGCAATAAATACNTTGCGCTATCATTGTAGCTAAACCTATTATAGTAGATTGGTTATCATTAATTTTAAATTAGCAATAAATATTCATTCTACAAATTTACCAGTTATAGCTATCTTATAAGTGATCTGATTGTGTTAATATCTTTTTTGCACTGACAACTTAAACTCATTGCATAATGTCAAGTAGGAGGAAGATTACTACCAGATGAAACATAATAACCATGTTGCCTAAGTAATCGAAAGCTTAGAGCAACAGCATGAAGGTCACTTTCATCAACTTGGCCAATCCATTTTTCATAACTAGTATAAATGTAAGCCAATGATTCCTCAATCTCATGTTCAAAATGGTACGCCAATCCAAGCAATTGGATTTTGTTGATTATGTCAAGCTTTTGCAAAGATTTGGAAGGAGCCATCTTTAGCATTTTTCTCACTTCTTCTTTTAGGTCCTCGTGCTCCTTCTCTTCCCATTCATTTGCTACCTACACGAGTAAATTTTGAAATTTGTTACTATGGAGTATATGTTAGTATTTTGGAAAGATGGATTAAGGCATATATAGTGTGTTCAAAACCCCGAAAAAGATGGTAAAAAAAGAGAGAGTAACTAAATCCAATTATACCAAGAGATCAGCATAGGCAAGAAAATGGTCTCCCCAGATAGTAGGATAATGATTGGCACTGCGCCGTGTGACCTCAGCCTCACCAGCAAACCCATCCATTTCTTCTTCTTTTGAAGGAGTAAAGGAAAAGAACCAAGATTGATCAATATAGGTGTTAGTGTGATATTAATGAACTCAAAAGGCGAACTTATGGTCACCGTGCCGTCAAAATTTATTCGCACCCAATGTTTACATCATAATTATGGTTTAGTCATAATTATGTTTGTGAAAATATATATCATGTATTTACTGGTTTGATATAAACACGTGATGCGAGTAATTAAGTTTCTGTTCTTAGGATGCATCCCCAAATAGATCCATTAACTTACTATTACAAGGGGATTATTCACATTTTTTGAAAGTGTGTGGATGTTAGAACATATTCCATACTTACTAGTAACTTTTTAATGTATGAACAAAATATAGCAATATAGGAGTAATGCTATACTTCTATGCAGAACAGCACTATTATATGAATTGCCCTTGATAAAGGAAAACAGGAACATACCTTTTAATTACCAGTTCTTGGCTCTTTGCCAAATGCAAAGTAGTGTGGCTTAGGCTCTGTAACTAGGCTTAAAAACTAAGAATGTAAATTAGGAAAGTTGTCTTTAGGTTACCCAGACACACACAACATGATTCCGTTAGTATTTATAAAGCTTCGTAATACCAATAAATATCATATACAAAGTATATCACTTTTAGTGGTCTATTTTTGAATTTGTACTCCCTTTAACAAAAAATAAATAAAGTATATAGTTTACAATTTTATCCATAATAATGATAGCATTTCCAAAAGTTTTGAGAAATGATTTGGAAAATGAGTAGTTAATGATAAAGGTAAAACAAGAAAAAATATTATTTTTCTCTTGATTTAGTATAGTAGATAAGTAGAAGTAAAAATATATTTTTCGTATAATAGGCAAATAAAAATGAACGGAAAGAGAATTAATTATTAACCGGAGGTCAATTAACGGCACCAATTTGATAATGGAGACTTCAAAAAGAAAAAAAGAGATTTGACCGATCCATATTATTTAATAGACTTATTTATCCATGCTAGAGAGGTTATCATTTAATTATATTTAAATATATAAATTAATGATAATTTAGGATACCATAATATTAGATATTTATCGAAAATAGTCTCTTTACTTTCAAAAGCTAGGCATAAGGATACGTACGCACTATCCTACTCAAACTTCACTTGTACCCCACTTGTACTTGTAAGTTTGTTATTGTTATCGTTATGATATTAATGCATTTAATAGGGAACAAATACAGATGCATCAGTTATTCCCTATCAGCTAACCCCCTCTCTCACGGAGTCCAGAACCTATTTGTGTTTTTTTTGGACAAGTGTGACGGAAATGTGTGTTTAAAAAAATGAGTGACCTTTCTATATATAGCGCTCTTTTAAAGAGCGCTATACTTTAACAGAGTTTTGGCCGTNATATATATATATATAACGCCACTTTAAATCGCGCTATACAGGTGCATAGCGCGGTATATAAACGCGCTATGCCCGTTTTGTGGGCCCACAAATAAGTCTCTTGCGTTTAACTGACATAACAATAATTCAAATGGGTATAGTGCTGCCGGGCGGGATGGGATGCGTCTCAGGCCAGCGGCTGCATTGAAGCACACAGGTTGTGGGACACATTGATTTTTTTTTTTTGTATTTTATGTAAATAATAACAATAATTTTTTATGTTTACATAATATGCGCATTATATTTTTATTTTCCCGTTCCTTCTTTATTTTAATACTACAACACAAACATAAAACATAGCAACTTAACATAATTTAAATTCAGTACAACTAATGAAAATACATGACATGGGAAACATAAAGATAAAGTAGTACACTCAACACATACATGTTATTGTTTAGTCACTGCCGCCCATTATTATCTGCTCCAACCACTTAAATTTCTCTTCCATCTTATTTTTTTCTAATTCTGCCTCTTTCAGTTTCTCCTTTAACTCCGCAATTTCTTATTTATATTCTTTTTCATATTCACACTGTTTTAAGGTCAAATCATGAAGATACTGCAAAGATCGTTTGTAGCATTCCTACTTACAGGGTTCATCAATCCATACCTCAAAATTGCAAAAAGGTTCATCGGGAACCCTATAAAACTTGTTCACACACATCCAGTAGCGGCGTCCAACTTCACCTCATCCCAACAATCATTCATCATATATTTTTTGCTGCACTGGCACCTTAGTACATAAAGGAGTTCAGATATTTGTTAAAGCGTAAAAAAAAAACCTTGCTTTTATGAAAAGTTTTGCTATTGGTTATTGTTAAGCACAGAAAATAACTAGAATGCGTCCGTTATTTATAGGCAAGACAACACACATAACGTAGTATTTAACAGCGCTATATATATATATATATATATTCACATAACGTAGTATTTAACCGCGCTATGCTTTGCATGTTAAAGATTCTTTCGGATACAAAATAACTTTTTCTCAGACGCGCAGCTTTTCAGTTCGACAAGACAATACACATAACGTAGTATTTAACCGCGCTATGCTTTGCATGTTAAAGATTCTTTCGGATACAAAATAACTTTTTCTCAGACGCGCAGCTTTTCAGTTCGACAAGACAATACACATAACGTAGTATTTAACCGCGCTATGCTTTGCATGTTAAAGATTCTTTCGGATACAAAATAACTTTTTCTCAGACGCGCAGCTTTTCAGTTCGACAAGACAATACACATAACGTAGTATTTAACCGCGCTATATATATTCACATAACGTAGTATATAACTGCGCTATATATATATTCACATAACATAGTTTTTAACCGCGCTATATATATTCACATAACGTAGTATTTAACCGTGCTATATGTATTCACATATTTAACAAAAATCTACCTTTAACTCAACTATTTTTGAACTATATTTATCAAATATATTCACATATTTTTCCGTTTTTTAATCCAATACTATTTTTGATTACATGAATGGGAGGGAGAAATACATTAATTTACTCAACTAAAAAATATTAAATATCAATATGATTTAACAACAATGGAAACATAATTTTATTTGATACATCTTGCAACATAAACAAAACAACTACTTATTATAACATAAACTCAATGATAGTTGGGCACATTAGAAAAACACCCACCACGAGCTTGATTACCACTGCCACCCAAACCAGCCGAAGGACATTTTTAACGGTCGTGTCCTGTTTGCGAGCATATACCACATTTGCGTGCATGAACGGTATCGCTAACATCCATTTAATTCCGTATACGCGTTCTCTTCTGCACCTGTATTCGACGCAAATAGTCCTTGTTACACACCATTTTAAATGGTTCCGGCGGTCAATAAGGCTCAGCACCCACTGGCTACAACTGCCCACTATAGGTGTTTAAGTGTCACGACCCAAAATCCCACTAGTCGTGATGGCACCTAACCCAACCCGTTAGGTAAGCCAATTTCCATCTATCCAATTCCAATGAAATTAATTAAAAAAATAAATCTAAAACCAATACATCTCCCCAAGAACTGGTAGTACAAATCATGAGCTTCTAAGAATAGAGTGTACAAAGTGAAAATGAAATAAATACATAGTCTGTTTGAATAATACATAAATAGAGCTTATATAAATCTAAGGTTACCCTGAACAAGAGGCAGCTATAACAGGAACGCAGGTACATCTTCAGATCCCGCAACCATCGAGCACAGCAACAACGTCAGCCAATATCTGCACACAATGTACAAAAGTGTAGTATCAGTATAACCGACCACATGTACTGAGTAAGTAACAAACCTAGCCGTAGGTTGAAAGTAGTGACGAGCTTCTACTGGTCCAAAACCACTAGTCCACAACAGTCCATAACAATATAAAGCAAATAGTATAAGAAGAAACACAGAGATAAAAATGCTCAGCCAAAATATGATTTCAAAAATAATAGTTCTTCCTTTCAAATACATCAGTGAAAACCCAAATCGTTTGCCGAAGTTGCCAAAAATATGAATAATTTGAGAACAATAATTCTTCCAAAAATCATTTCAATCGTAAATAAAATATATCATTTTCTTTCCCAGATAACCAGTGTAAAACAAATACATCACTATGCCCATCTGTCAACATGTGTGAAAAATCATGAATAATGTGATACCGTACAGCATGAGGAAAATACATCTCTATGCATATATGTCATGTATGCATGTCAATGCAATGTATCTCAGAGATTGCACTCATGTACTCACAGTCTCAAAGTACTCAATCTCATTGTCTCGCATTCTCTCTCACTGTGCTCAGCACACTCAATCACTCAGCGCTATACAATATCTGCTGCGCGTGCAGCCCGATCCCTGTTTATAGTCGACTGCGCTCACTAGGGGTGTACAGACTCATGAGGGGCTCCTACAGCCCAAGCGCTATAAGCACAGACAACTCACGTGCTGCACGGACAACTCGCGTGCTATAATATCATATCTGGATCCGCACGGACAACTCAGTGCTGCAAGGATAACTCATGTGCTATAATAATATCTGGATCCGCACGGCCAACTCACGTACTATAATAATATCTGGATTCGCACGGCCAACTCACGTGCTATAATAATATCTAGATCCGCACGGCCAACTCACGTGCAATAGTATAATATATAGATCCGCACGGCCAACTCACGTGCAATAGTATAATATATAGATTCGCACGGCCAACTCACGTGCAATAGTATAATATATATAAAGCCAACATGGCCTGCTGCGGCGTGCAGCCCGATCCCAAAAATATCCTCACAATTAGGCCCTCGGCCTCCCTGAGTCATCAATCTCTCTAGTCTCTCTTTCATTGGCTCACAATGTCATGAGAATAGCCCAAAAATGATGATATGATGTATCAATAAATAATAACAGAGACTGAGATATGATATGCAATGAAATGAATATGACTGAGTATAAATTTTCATTTTAAAATAAATATTTCACAATAATATGACCTTTGTGGGTCCCAATAATACTGGCACATAGCCTCAACATGATTTTTAATATGCTTTTCAGCTCAATTTCTTTAACTCATAAAATCGCATGAAAAATACCAAGATCATTTAACTACAAACTTTCACATAAATAATTATGTCACAATTTCTATAGTGAACGCCCACATGCCCGTCACCTAGCATGTGCGTCACCTCCCAACAATTCATGAAATACATATATTCAGGGTTCATACCCTCAACTCCAAGATTAGAAGAGTTACTTACTTCGAACAAGCCAAATCCAATGCCGAGCAAGCTAAACAATGCTCTAGAAATTCCATTATGCGCGTATCAACTTACAAACGGCTCGAATCTAGTCAAAATAATTTGATTCAGCCCACAAAAATTATAAAAATTAATTCCATATCAAAATACTAATATTTTCCAAAAATCCGAAATTACGCTCCAAAAATCACCCTTGGGGCCCACATCTCGGAATCTGATAAAACTCACAAAATCCGAACCCCCATTCAACCACGAGTCCAACCATACCAAAATTACTCAAATCCGACCATAACTCGGCCTTCAAATCCTCAATTAAAGTCTATGAATTTTTCTACTATTTTCAACCCAAAACACTAATTTGTTGATA